CCAAGCCATCCCTTATCTCGCTCCAGATCCGACAAGCTTGAAACTCCAGATTCGCTGAGGATTCAACCCAACTGCCATCCCAGATCTGTTGCAGACTCAACCTATCCACAATACCAGATCCATTTTTTCTGTGGGAATGGCTTGTGGTGGGTTTGGGTGGATATGGATGATGATGGGTGGTGGTTGGTTGCAAAGGGAGGAGGAAGAATGATGGGGGCAATCATTTTTTCCATCGCGGTAACTTTCACAAATGTTGTCGATGGATTGACTGCGCAAAAAGTAATTGACTCTATCTCCCCTGTTGACCCAAAAGATCAACACCAACCGCTCCATCAAGGTCGATATCAATGGCAAGGAAGAACGACACAGTAGGTTTTTTTTTTCCTTGGTCTGGGTAATTTTGTTTTCTTTAATTGATCAGCAACTTCATTTATTGTTTTACTTGTAAGTATGAAATTATTGTTAATACGTATTGCAGTTCTTGGTAAGCATGAAATTCGATTTACAACTTTGTAAGCTTCAAAACCTGAACTCATAATAGTGTGGAGATAATCCGGTCGTTAATTAGCATTTGGTGAGGTTAATTTGCTGAAAAAAACAAAGAGAAGAGGAAAGCTTTGGCTTTCTGTTCGGGCTGCCATTGATTCTGTTCCTGAAGGAAATCGTAAGTGGATCATCATCCATGTTAGGAAAGGGGCGTACAGGCAATTCACCATCAATTAGAGCCTCTTTTGGAATTAATTAATAAGTTTTTTTATTTTTAATGTATTACGTTATGTAATGCATTATATTTTTTTAGAAGAAAATCTTTCTTTTTAATTTTTTACACATGGCACCTACGTGGCATCCAATTTAACAAAATTGTGGGTCCCATTCGTGCCACGTTGGCATTTTTAACAGAGTTTTTGATTGACTTGACGGTGGGGGGTAAATTGAGATGCAAAACATCAGTCAAGGAGGCGAAATGGGCCATTTTAACTTTCAGGGGGTAAAGTGAGATTTGACCAAAGTTTCAGGGGATGCTACAGTAAATAAGCCAAAAATAAAATTACATAGTTGTAACATTTGTGTTTTTTTTTTTTTTTTTTTTCTTGACGAAGACATTTTGTGGAATATTACTAATTTTTGACAAAGACTATATTTGATGAAGTTAGGCCATCTCCAATCATGGGCTATATCCCAAATATAGCCCTAAAATAATGCAAAATCCATCTCCAGCCGTGGGCTAAATAAAATTTTGGCAAAATTTGGAGGGCTACATTTGGCCCTTTAGCCCTTCAACCAGGCCACATATAGCCCACCTTTAGTCTAGGCCAAATTTTTGTGGGCCCATGCATTTGCTTTTTAAAAGCCAATAGTAAAGTAAGTTGATGTTATAGGTGAATATATATAATAAAATATGAAGGATCCTAAAACATAGCCTTGCATGGCTGGAGATAGAAAAATTTAGCCATGCACTATTCTTTAAAAAATTAATATTTTAAAGGCCTAAATTTTTAACTCTGGACTACATTTAGCCTTATGACTGGAGATGGCCTTAACAACCTATTTCTTATCTTTAGAATGATCACTAGTCAATAATTCTTAATTAAATTAATATGGTGGTAACTTGTAAGCTTCTTAAATAATTTTCAATACATTAATCTAAAAAATGACTTAACAAGTAAGTAATCATTATATGACTTCTTCCTTGGTGATTTCGATTTATCTCATTTCAGCATATTATACACCACAAATCCAAAGGGTTGACTATTTAGACAAAGAAATGTTATCAACGAGCTCTCTAACGCGCCAAATGACAAATTTCTGGTGGACTAACCAACCTATATGAATTTCCTCATTCAGATTTTAGTTGGAAGGACATGCAAAAGCAGAGAAACATAAATATTTGAGGTAAATGAATTTCCTTATTTTGTACATGTAAAAGCAGAGGAACAAAACTAACACTAAACAACTCTAGTATCCTTCAAAAACTTGATCTTGATTTTATTGAGTGTGACCACAACTTCTTGCATACTCATCCTTTCTTCTGGCGATTCTGCAGAACAAGCAAGACCCAATCTCATAATGGATGATAAACAATCCCTTTTGGCTACAAAATGATCTTCCTCTGCCCCAAGTAAATTTGCATCCACAACTTCAACGATTGCATCTGGTAGCAGTGCATTTGAAACCCATTGCTTTAAATTCATTTCCCCAACAAACATCTCATTTGTTGGCTTCCTTTTTGTGAATGTTTCCATCAGTACAATTCCAAAACTGTACACATCCCCTTTAGTTGAAACAATTCCTTCCATTCCGTACTCTGCAATATATATGATGAGAAAAATATGATTATAAGTTCATTGTTCATTGCTTGCTTCTTAGAAACAAAAAAAGACAACATATATATATTATGTTGGAAAATAAATTAGAAACATCACCTGGAGCCATGTACCCAACTGTGGCTAGGGTCATGGTTTGGGTCATAGAATCTCCTCCACCCAACAATTTTGCAATTCCAAAATCAGCAACATGTGCAACCATATCATTGTCTAGTAGTATATTGCTTGGCTTCAAATCACAGTGGACAATAGGTACTCCATAACCATGATGAAGGTATTCCAATGCTGCCGCAACATCTGACAATATAGTCAACCTCTCTAGGATATTCAAAGAACAGTTCTCAGAATACAACCACTTCTCAAGGCTCCCATTAGGCATGTAGTTCAGTACTAAGGCTTTGAAATCAATTTGAATGCAACAGCTGATGATTTTGATAAGGTTCCGATGACGAATATTGCTTAGCATTTCCAATTCCCTCTCAAAACTCCTGAAAGCCCCTTCTAGTTGTAAATTGAAAACCTTTACTGCAACATCTATTCCATCTGAAAGTGTCCCTTTATATACTGAGCCAAAACCCCCACTTCCAAGTAAGCTGTTTTCGTTAAATCCATTTGTCACCCTTAGAAGTTCTAGGCGTGAAACTCTTCTCCAAAAAAATTGAGGCAACGAGGTAGCCTCTCTTGCAACTTCCACATTCCTCCTTCGTAGTACAAAGATAGATGCGGAGGCCACTAAGAAAATCACTGATATGATCCCTGGGATGATATAGTTAGCTTTTCTCCAATTTAGATCACGTGTACTATTTTTGCATGGTGGAACATGGAGTCGGAGTGCACCACAGAGTGCACTGTTTGAGACAAATGATTCTGCGGAGAAATTTTGAAAGGGTCCACCAGTTGGAATTTGTCCTTGGAGCCTGTTGAAAGACAAATCCAGATACTTGAGAAGTAAGAGGGCTTCTAAAGACCTTGGAATCACTCCAGATAGATTATTTCTGGATAAATCCAAGAGTTGCAGGCTTAGCAAGCCGTCAAATGAACTTGGAATAGGGCCTTCCAAATTATTATTTGCCAAGGATAGATTAACCAAATTCGGAAGACCCCCAAGAGTTCTTGGTATAATACCAAATAAATGGTTATTTGATAAATCTACCAATGTTGCAACTTTCAAGTTTCCAATATCTTGTGAGAGATGTCCAGTTAGAGAATTGGATGATAAGTTTACATGCAAGATATCGGCAAGTCTCCAAAAAGTAGAAGGTATTGTGAAACTCAGTGAATTGGACTCTAGTGATAGAGTTCTTAGAGATGTGGCTAAATTGCCCAAGCAGGAAGGTATAGAACCAGATAGCTGATTACTACCCAAAAATAATTCAACTAGGTTATCTAGTTGACAAAGTTGACGTGGGATGTATCCTTGCAACTCATTGTCATTCAAATACAAACCTTGGAGATTTCCTAGTCTCTCCACAGAAGTTGGAATTGATCCGCTCAATTGATTGTATCCCATGTCTAAGGCTATCAAGCTGCTCAAGTTGCCAATATCAATGGGAATGTTACCCCTCATGTTGCAACCACTTAAATCAAATTGTTGAAGCGACGATGATGAGCAATTCCGAAGGGAATCATCAAGTCTGGCATTTAACGGATTTTTTGACAACTGTAGTCTTTTCAAATTTCCAAGATTAGCCAAACAAGAGAGAGTGGTTGCTTCTGGAGTGGAAGTGTCAATCGTTAAATTATTCGTTGATAAGCTAAGCCACTGAAGGTTTTTTAAGCCACAGAGCGTCCCCGGAATAAACCTTGTAAATGAGTTTACGCCCAAGTCTAGCTCCGTGAGCATAGAAGCATTGGACAGGTTGGGGATTACTCCGCTGAGCTCATTTTCTGGTACATATAGTCCTTGTAGGTTTGGAATCCCAAGGCCTATTTTTGCTGGGAGGCTACCTGATAGCTGATTCAGACCAAGCACCATTACTTTTACCGTGGAGATATTGAAGATTGAGGATGGGATGAGACCATTCAGATTATTATCACCGGCTGCAAAATACTCTAAATTTTGAAGATCACCTATCTCATCTGGTATAGTGCCTGCCACAATGTCACACCCGTTGCATGTTAACTTTGCCTCAGCATTATGTAATATATATGTAATATAATCTAACCTACCCCATGTACTCGATCATGACTTTTAGTATAAAATGTCACAGTCATATTATTAATTAATACAATAATAATTACAGGCAAATCTTTAAAAAGAAAATAAAAGCACTAAAAAGATTTGTGTTAGAAACAAATTGAGAAATCGGGCCTATGTAGTGGAGATGAAAATATATGGTTTACAAAATGTCATATTCCCTTGAGCAAAACACGTTTGAGTTTGCATGTCTTTATACATCTTTTTTTAACCCCTACTTTGGTTAACCTTTCATTTGGACATTCTGACTTAGATAGAACGTTTTATTAGGCAAGTCAATCTGTTATATTCATAATGAACTATCTCCCTCATTTACTAAAATTTGAAATAGTTAAATAATGATAAATTATGCAATAAAAAAAAAAAAGACAAAACATAGTTGGAGCACCATACAGGAATGGCAATGGGTCGAATCGGGGGTGGGTATGCAATTCTCATCCCCATTTCCGTTAAGTATTTTCCTCCCATACCCTCCTTCATACCCACAATATTTAAATTGGGGATTCCCCATAGCCGTCTTTATTAGAAAAAGGGTTCCACGACCGGCCCCATTATGAAAAAGTTAAAAAATAAAAAGCTACTTTATTGAATGAGAAAAAAGCACTATAAGATATGCATAAATTTAATTTTTATCAACTAAAAATCTAGACTATTTAAAACAAATTAAAACATGTTCAAGACATGATCATTATTATAGAGGTAGCACCACCATCACACATCTTAATAATATATATTTTATGAAAAATATTTTTTGTATATTCTAAACGAGGAGGGTTTAAGTTGGGGAATAGAATATCATCCCTACCCCTCCCCGAACACCATACCCGAAAAATTCCCTGAACCAGTCCCTATATCCGTTTCTTATCATTCATTCCAGACCCATTAGGATTGAATCCCCGCGAAGACCCTTACCCATGGGGAAAATTGTCATCCCTAACCATAATTATGAAATTTCAATTACCTGTCAAATTGTTCATGCCAAGTGCAATCGCGGTTAACTGGGTTAAGTTCCCAATATTTTTGGGTATGCTTCCACTGAAATTGTTATCCTCTAGTGATAATACAAGAAGATGTCTGCATTGCCATAATTTGGATGGAACTGGACCAGCAAACTCGTTGCGACCCAAATTGACCATCTTAATATAAGGAAGATGTTGGCATATATTATCTGGAAGACCACCACTCAAGCCGTTTCCATATAGAGCCAAAGTAGTCAAAGAAGTCATGTTGAAAATAGCCACAGGAACATGCCCTTTTAGGGCATTATCTTGCACAATCAACATCTCCAACTGATCTAAAGAACCAATCTCGTTTGGAATTTCTGAAAAAATAATTAAGATAGATGCACATGTATATGTTAAACTCATGATTTATGCACATATAATGTACTGCAACAACAGCCGAGTCATATATAATAATTGGATCACATCAAGGCAATGCAACAAATATACCGTTGAAATTGTTGGAGTCAAGATATATCTCCTTTAGCATTGTTAAGTTCCCTATTTCTCTTGGTATCCCACCTGTTATGTATGCCAAATAAAGACTCATAATACATTTAAATAAATGAAATTATAAAAAACACCATGACAAATATTATAGAAAAACTCTTACAATGCCTATTTGGAGAAAAAAAAAAACCCTCACTTGTCACTTGTCACTTTCTAATTGGTTAGTATGTTACAATATTTTCACCTAAAGGTACAATATGGAGTTTTTCTATAGTATTGGATTTGAAGGGTGTTTTTAATAAAATAAAATAAAATAAAATGTCATGTTACAATGAGCCTATATGTAAAAAGCCTATAAATATTCCCTATAGATCCTTCATTATTTACAATCATTATCCCTCGATGCCCAACATGTTTTTATCATTTGTAGCCGACAAGTAGTCTCTAGTTTCATAAATGTAAGTTTTGTAAAAGTTTTTGAGTATAGCAAAAAACAACCATGAACCCAACTACCCTCCAAATTAAAAATCAAATGCATATTCTATTCAAGTGTTTTTTTAGCATCGCATCACCTGCAAGTAAGAAAAAATGAGTCTAATTTTCTAAATAAAAAAGAACAAACTGAGCTTATCGATTAATAAAACAATGTTAAAACATAACGTTATATGAACAATAGAGTCTAGATAACCTTATTGACGCATACGTACCTGATAGTTGGTTATTAACTAGATTAATTGCTTTCAGTGTAGATAAGTTGAAGATAATCGTGGGTATGGAACCTGAAAATTGATTGCCACGCAAATTGAAGGCTTGAAGTTTGGGAAAGGACCCGAACCACGACGGAATGGATCCCATAAAATTGTTGTATCTGAAGCTAATCAACTTCAGCCGACGCAAATAAGACAATTCATGGGGCAAAGTACCATGGAAGCTATTATTGTTGAAGTTCAGTGCAACAAGGAATGAGAGGTTGCCTAAGTGTGGTGGAATGGTACCTATGAAATCCATGTACGAGAGATTCAATGATGTTACTCTGAGGTGACGAGCACCGCAAGTAACGCCAACCCAGTTACATACAGAGGTGGTTGACCAGTTGGCCAAGATGTTGTAAGGGTCACTAGTGATATGGGTTTTCAGAGCAAGAAGAGCAGACTGGTCCGTGGTGATGTTGATTTGTGATGTACCTGTGCCGATAGTTAATTTAGCCATATACTGCAGCATCAGCAAGAACGTGATTGACAAGAGAAAACCACTTCTCTCCATGAGCGCTGAAAACAGAGAAGTTCCTTCCAACTTCAAAAGTGTTTCTCCTTTCCGATTGAAATCATTGAATAATTTGTTGCAGCGCCAATCTATATGAAGACAGAAAAAGTTGCCTAACAGTGGGCACATGATTCCACCCTCATGGAAGAAATTCGCAAGTAGTCAAATGCAACGACTTAGACTTGTAATGAAGGAAGAATGGACAATTTAGGCTCTGTTTGTTTCCACGCATGTTCACAAAAGTACATATTGTTTTAAAAATATATATATATGAATCACTATTACACGTTAACATTTTTTTAAACGTTTAATGGTTTTTGTATGGTGTATAATGTGATGCTTAAGACACATGACCCATCACATTGTAAAGCAAAACAAAAAAGTAGAAGAATTTTTCAGCGGATATGCAATTTTTTAAAGCTAATAGCTCAAAAAAAAAAAAAGACAACTAAATATCCATATAATTTAAACAATACTAATGTTATTCATAATTAATTGAAAAAAAATAACATGACAATTAACCTACAATTGTTGCCGACGAGGTTTCATATCATGAAAACATCGCATTATATTTGCATTACTAATACAAGAAAAAACATCTTTTTTTTTTTTTTGGTCAAGTGAAAAAACATCTTTCTCAATGTAAACAACCAAGTTATCACTCAACCATTGATTCTCTATTTTGTTACGCAATGGTGTTTTTACAATATTCATAGCTAAAAAAGCTCTCTCAACCGAAGCAGTTGCAATGAGTAAAACCAAAGCCAATGTAAGAAGTAAATACACATAGTTGTATATTTTACTCCTTGTATTCACCAATTTTTTTGCCAGATCAATAATCCCGTTCAATTATGAAAGCTCAGTGCTGCTCTGCATAGCAACAATATAAAGCCCAAGTTGATCTTCAAGCTTCATGAGGTCTCAGTCATTAAATTCTTGAGGGTAAAATTTAGCAAAACGAAGTATTTTTTGTTTGTCAAAAGCTGCAAAATTATAAGCCGGACTCAAACATGCCATATAAAGAAGAAATTCAGTATTTACCTAAGTGAATCAATTATTTAATTCCACTAGTTGCTTATCAATGATAGTAAGAAATAGGTCCACACGATAATAATGGCGGTTTGTGATTTTTTGAGCTTTATGTTGTGATCTCCCTTGTGGTACAAATAAATAATCCATGTTAGGAATGTCAATATATCATTGTTGCCACAAAATATTGATACTTCGCCAAACAAACCATCAAAGTCAGCATCCCTCACGGATTGTAGTTTTTGCTTACATCTTTGGACCAACGTCATTGCATTCACAATATCTTGATCTTTCTTTTGTAATGCATCATCCATATCACAAATAATTGCATCAATGGTTTCAGCGGCATAAGAATTGACAAGATCTTTTTTGAATTTTAGGAGCAATATACTTCAGATTCCCTGGAAAGTTCTCAAACACAATGGCACGAACTTTCTCATCATGATCGGCAAGAAATTGCAAAAGCTCCACATAATTACCCTTATTGCTAGATGTTTCGCTTTCATCATGGCCGCGAAAAAGAAGACCTTGTCGCAATAAATATCTAGTGCAATCAAGTGCGACAGTAAATAGAATGCGATAATTAATACAAGCTTGGTCTGTCTATTTGATCACAATGGTTTCAACGTGTTACTTATGATTCATTAAATATGTACAATGTTGTGTAGCTTTATTGTGAAATCTTCCAACTTGTCCAACATGGTCCCTAAAATTCTCAGGTCCCTTCCTCCAATTTTTAAACCCTTTCTCAGTGAAGACATCACTTCCAGCCTTTCCTTGTTTATCAAAGTCGCATTTTAAAAAGATAACAATAAAGACAAAATGCATCATACTTTTCTTTATTATACTCCAACCAAACAAATGAATCAAACAATTTGACAAGAAAACGTCAATTACTCTCCCCCATAAGTGTTTGGGGCATGTCATTTTGGGTTTTAGGCTAACAAGGACCCCTTTGTAGATAGGCTCTTCGGATTTGTTCTCAAAAATTGGGATTATAATAAGTCATTGGAGGTCTAAGTTCAAGGTTTGCAGGAAGATGAGCCAATATTTCATCCAACTCAGTGACCTCCGATCGTTTTGGACTACCCGAATTATTTTAAAAAGGAAAATCAAGATTAGGAGATAGGAAATGAGATTATAAATCGGAGTGTAGAAACTTCTACAACTAACAATTTCTCATAAATGTAGAATAAATGTAGAGGCTTGAGATCCCAAATAATGTGTATGTTAACCTAATAATTATGTGATGTTACCTAACCAATTATGTTTTTATTAATTAATTTGGGATAAAAGTCTTGATTGACTAAACGGGTAGGGCTAAAAAAGAAAAGCGCGAGGAGTGAAAGCTGGACAACAAGAACTCCCTCCCCATTTTTCCACAAGGACATGATTAACTTTAGGATGCTGTGGTAGGAGATAGGGCCCAAGGGACGTCCTTAATTTGTGGTAATTAACCATACTACACTGTCCAATACAACACTACAATTTTATAACCATTGAATGTCCCATATTTATTTAATCTGATTCAGTGGCGGAGCTTGTAGCTTGTCTTTGGAGGGCCAGTACTGTAATTATAAGGTTTTATAGCCTTATATTTCAACTGATATTGCAATATGTGTTTAAGAGTTATTGGTTTTTTCATGGAGCTTTTGGGGGGCCACGGCCACTGCAAGCCTGTATGTGGCTCCGCCCCTGATCTGATCGCTTTTGGATCAAATAAACCAAAACAAAAACTTGATAGTTTTCGATCGATATTACATAGAGGCGAGTCTTCTAGTTTAAAGCTAGCATCTACAATGTCACAAAAACCCTAATTGAAAATATAGAGACCCTGTGAGTTTTTACTTTCGGCCCGAGCAATCTGTCACTTTGATCTACAGAGAGTTCCAATCTGTCAAATGCAGTATTAGTTCTCGTAGCAAAGATAACTGGTTTCGTTTTATGGATCCTTTCCTTTTATTTCACACGAAGAATAGCTCATCAATTTCTAAACTGTTGTAAATTCATGATAAGATGGATGCCCACTATACACCTATCATACCTACATCCACAATGTAATACTTTACTCTCACACCATACCTTCCATATGTGATGGAAACCTACCACTTATGGTAGTAAACTATGAATTTCAATTGTCATACGGTACTCTCTATATGAATCTTGTGTGACCCTCCTGAGATCTGTTGTCCCCAAATCCCCTGTCTCTTCCATGTTCCTTATTTAAAATTTTGATACATGTCTCTACCTTTAACAGTACACAAACACCGTTAACTCGTATAGATGATATGTAAAATATTAATAATATGCTGCTTTCGATTCTTCCATGGGCGGAACCAAGGCAAGGGCTGCCCTTGGCTGTAGCCAAGGGACAGTTTGGGAAAAAACAAATTATATATACATATAGTCTAATATTTTAACTATATATATATATAATTTCAACACCAATATGCATAGTAAGAGGTCTTCCACATTTGTATTTGGTGTTAAAGTTTGTGCCAACAACAATTTTAAAAAAATTCTATTAATTTGTCTCCAAAAGTGAAGCATTTTTCTAAATAAAATTCACCTTTTCGTGAATAATATGGCTCTAATTTATTTTATATTTTATTTCTTCTTGTGTTTACAATTAGCATGATTTATGTGATTTAATGTATACTTTTATTTCTAGAAAAACTATAGAAAATGTAAGTACAAAAAAAAAATTATCATTAGATTTTAAGCTAATAACTTTAGCTAGCCTACCCATTGAAAAATTTCTAGTTCTGCCCTTGGATTCTTCTTCTTTCTCCATGGCAGTGGCACCGTCACTTCCTCTCTCTTCCAACTCGCAACATGTCAGATTGAAAACCCACAATTTCCTCTCAAAAGGTTAAAGACACTATATTTAAGAATTAAAATAGCTAACTCAATTAAATATAAATCCAAAATTATAGTAACAATTTCAACATATTCTAGTTAAGGTAGAGACACGTGTGAAACGTTTAGATAGGGAACATGGATGAGACATGGAATTTGGGGACAGCACATCTCAACTATGTGATACCTACTAACTAAAAAAAATGTATCAAAATAAGAGATGCAAGTTATGGTGCCTTTGCCGAAAATTAAAGAAACTAAACTTGGTGTTGGTGTTGTCAAATATTGGTAGAATTTAATAAGTTTTCGTAGAATTTCTAATGTCAGAAACATTTGAATGATTAATCTGTTTTGTTTTTTAATTATTGGGAAATTAAATGATTATTCTTGTTTACTGTAAACGAATTCTAAAGCATTTGATTTCTTTATTTCCTTTTTGGGAGCTTTTAGGTTTAAGTAGCATACAAAATTTTTGTACCCGATGATGCAGTTGGCTAGTTTATTTGTGTTTAAATAATAAGAAGAATCCGACCAAAAAAGAATCTGACCAAAAAAAATGAAAAGTTAAAAATGCCAAAAGGAAAACAGAATTTTCATCAAGTTTTTGTAATAAGAATCTTGTTATAATTAAGATCCTGCATGCGAGACCGTAGCTGGGTATATCCATTCAAGTGGCAGCAGAAAAGCTCACTTTTAATTTCCTTTTTTTCATTTTCTTTTTTCACCTTAGCTGGGTACATTCAACCATCAAAGTGCAGTACTCTTACTCTACGTGACATGTAAGAATGGATGTACTGTTCAAACTAAACATGCTTCTACCTGAGGACCTCTATCAAGTGTGTGTTCACTTTAATAAATGTAAATGTACGCTTATCATAACAACATAAAATACTCACAACTCGAGTAAAAATTCGCAGTCTAACAACTTAAATAACTTATGTTGTTGTTGCTAAAGATAAGTAATTTAAAAAATAATGAAATTGGCAAATCCCGGGTTAAAGGAAAAACAAAGGATCCTTTAGTCGTGTTAAAAATAAATAAAAAATGGTCCTTTTTAATGAGGAGTGGAAGCGTACATGCATGATACTCCAACCAAACAAATGAATCAAACA